TTAACCTCGGTGTGTCTGGGGCTGGAGCCCTGACGTCCGTGAACGTTCTGGGTCCATCGCAGGGGGCGGTGCGGACGGTCTCCCGGGGGCGCTGGGCCTTGCTTCGGGGAGTCCTCCCATGAGGCAGGTTTTCACAGAAGCGGACCTGGTTCTGCCGACCCTGGGGCTCAGACGTGTTACTGCGGTGGACACTGAAGCCTGTCGCCCGCAGGTTCTGTGGGATGGTGCAGTTCCCGGGCGGTGTGAGGAAGAAGGCCCTCCTGCAGCTGTGCCTGCTGCTCTGCCACCCGTTCCCCGTGGTGAGTGTGCTCGCGGCTGCTCCCGGGGCCTTGACCCCTGCCGGGTTTGCGTGGGGGCCCGCACCTGACCAGCACCCTCGTTTGGACACCCCCCTGCAGAGGTCAGGTATCCTGCCAATTCCATTTTCCACTGGCTAAAAACACACTCTTCAAATAATCCAAATGTGCCATCTTCCTAGAAGGTACAAGTGCCATTTATACCGAGCCCATTGGTTCTCCAAATGGGGTCCCTGGACCTGGCAGCAGCAGCCCATCAGAAATGCAGGTTCTCAGGCTGCCAGCCTGCTGATGAGTTACCCTGGGGTGGGCCTGAGAGCACCAGCCCCTTGAGCGGTGTTTTCAGCGGGCAGCTGGGAAGGAAGCAGGTAAGGCCGTTTCCCTGGTGAGGGGCAGGTTTTCCACGAAGCATTTCGGTCAGAGCAAGGTGGCCTGGCTTCTCTCTGATGGGGAGGCTGCTGTGGGGCAGCAGGGAAACGGGGTGGCCTGCCCACAGCCTGCGGGATTCCCTACCCAGCTGTGGCCAGGGTCTCCTGAGGCAGGATCCCAGCTCACCTCCTCACTTCTAATAACGTGCATGGCGTTAGGTTCCATTCGGACCCGGGATCCTGCCTGACCCCATGTCCCTGGGCAGGATCCTGTCACTCTGCTTGGGTTCTAATGGGCCTTTCCCTCCTGATGACGTGTTCTGTCCCGCGCAGATCCGGAAGACCACGGCTAGCCAGGTGTACGAGATGCTGCTCACCTACAGTGACATCATGGCTGAGGACGTCCTCGATGAGGTCATGGCTGTGCTGGGCACCACGGCCTGGTGAGTGCGAGGCCCCTTCCCACCTTCCCGCCGGGAAGGGGCGGCTTCTCCGTGAACGGGGACATCCAGAACCTCCTTTCCTGTCCCTGAGGCCTCCGCCACAAACCCTCCAAAGGGACAGGGAGAGCGAGGGTCCCAGCCCTCGATGCCTGTGCTCCGAGGAGGTGGTGACTGTGTGTCTGCCTGCAGGTCCCCACTGATACCCGAGGGACTGGGCCGGCCCCCTGGACACAGGGAGGGGAGGGGGCGCCTCCTGTTGTGGGAAGGTGCTCTGAGTGCAAAGGCGGACGGTTCTGAGCACTAACCGTTTGTCTCTGGGGTCTGCTCTCGCTAGGCAGTAGCACCTCGGGCTTTGATGCTGACGGGGTCGTGTCGGGAATACCGAGAAGGGAGCAGCACAGGGGGTGGCGTGCCCACTGGGGTTTGCGCTCGCGGGCTGGCCGTGGCCTCCAAGGGAGCAGGAGGGTGTGGAGGGCCTGACGCGGGTGCCTCTCCTGAGGGGGCCCGTGGGCCTTTGCTCGGCCGTGTGGGAAAGCCCTAGCGATGTGTTCAAACCTCAGAAAGGGCGGAGTAGGTGTCCCCAAGAGCCGGTTCTTTTCGGGGCCCCCGGGGCCACTGGCTTCTCCTGGGTCCCTCAGCACAGAGCTGGGCCCTGGACTTGTCTCTGGTGCAGTGTCCTGCAGGGCCTGTCAGCTCTCTGACCCGATGCACTGGGGTAGTAGGGGTGAGGATGTGTGGGGAGTGGGGACGGGGCTGGAGGGCATGTGGAGAGCGTGGAGAGCAGAAGGGTACAGCCCAGGGGTGCAGGTTGAATGGGGCGCGCCGGCTACCAAGTCCCAACAGCACGTGGGGGGACCCGCCACAGTCCAGGACCGTGCTCGGTCATGCGTGCACCCCTGCAAGGTGGCCCCTTCCCTCCTCACCCACCGTGGAGCGGTCCGGTAGTGGCCCCCGGAGGGCCTTGTGCTGCTCGGGCCCGGGCTCGGTCGGGGTCTGCACGCTTGCGTCAGCAGGCGGGGGCTGAAGGACAGAAAAGGGCCCTTGGTTTCGGGGCTTCCTCGAGGTTCTCGGGGAGACACTGACCTCGGGGATGAGGGAATTGAGTGAACGTCTTTGAAAACTGCAGAAGACGTGGGTGCCCGAGCAGCTGGGGTCCCGTCCCCCAGGGCCCGCCCGCTTCAGCGCCTGTGGAGGGAGCCATGGTTCTCCCTGCGCGGTACCCCCCACGCGGTCCACGGCACGAACACAGGTACCCTGCGGCGCAGATCGCGGCTGCGGCCTGCCGCCCTCTCCCCGTGGGGCGCACGGGGCTCTCCCCGCACAGCCCAGGCCCTTTCTGCTGAAGGAAACTCCAGAGGAATTTACAATTTGCTTTTTGATTCTAAAAGAAAAAGATAATCTCTGTTTTTAATGAAAGTGATACAAAGCTTTCAAAGTCAAGTAAAACTTTGAAAACCCACCCTAACCCCACCTTTCTGAGTCTCAGCATTTCCGGCCAGTCTGCGGCCGCGCCTCCCCAGTTTCCCCAAAAGGGTGCCAGGAGCGGGGGCTTGCCTGGTGCCATCTGCCCTGGTCTCCCTGGCTAAGATGCTGGGGTTCTGCGCACCCCGCGTCCGTAGCTCGTGACAGGCCTCCCGCGAGCCGACCGTCCCCAGCCGCTGGAGCTGCTCTTGCCTGCTCTTCCCCAGGGATGCGGAGCTCCCACTCGTTAGAGGCCAGCGGAACCGCCTGTGTGACCTCCTCGGCGTGCCCAGACCTCAGCTGGTCCCCAAGGTGAGACCCAGGGGCCCTTCCCATGTGAGATCTGAGTGCGGCTCCTGAGCCTCCGTCCTGAGCTCGAGTCTGGGCCGGTCGGGTAGCACAGACTGGCGTGTTCCACCCCCCCCCCCGCACCTGCCCCTCATGTGCTTTGCCGGCTCCTCGTCGCAGGCTCCTGCGTGCCTTGTCCCCACTGGGCGCGTATCAGGACAGGCCGTCTGCCTGGTGGGTGGCCGTTCTGTGCTGCCAGCCCTCAAGCTCGCGCCTCTCACACGAGGTCCTTGGTGCTGCTGTCTGGTTTCCACCATCACTGCCTCCCTGGACACTTGTCCTGTCTGGGGACTCTGTGACTCCTGGAGTATCTGGGGCTGCCCCATGAGGCGTCCATCTTCCATGGCATCGGTGTGTGCATGGCGGCTGTGGATTTCGGAGATGGCAGGGGCCCGAGCTGACCGTCGGGTCCTGCGGGGTTGTCGGACGCGCTCGCGAGGGAGCGGGGTGGACCCGGGCTGTGGGTCCCACCGGTGCTCACGCAGCGGCATGTGCTGGGACGCCGGACCCCGAGCTGGTTCCTGGTCCTGCCTTGCTGGCCGTATCCCCCTGGCCGTGTGTCTCGTCTGCGACTGCTTTCGAGTGTTTCCTGAGCGAGAACGTCCATCCAGAAATGAGTGCCATCCAGCTCCGTGCCCACGGGAGACGAGCACCGGGGACGGGGGGTCCGTGTTCGTCCGGCAGGGGCGCGGGTACTGCTCAGCCTCCAGAGCTTCGTCATGGCCCGGCCTGGGGCGCCCTGCACTGTCCCCCTCGGGGCACGGGGGTCGGGTGCTCTTGGACGGAGGACCCCCGGCCACGAGCCTGGAGTCCTGCTGGAGAGCTGGCAGGATGTGGGGCCGACTGTGGTTGTCCGGGCAGACCTCAGCCCTGGTTCCAGCTTTGTGGCAGGTGAACCGCGGGCTCCTGGAGGGTCCCTGGAGGGTCCCCCGAGGTGGCACTCCAGACTCTCGCCCCCCCCTGCCAGCTCACACCCACCTCCAGCATCGTGTGCTCCGCTGGGCTCCGGGCAGAGTCCGCGTTCGTCCATCTCCACGTTGGGCTCCGTTCTCCGAGAGGCCGAGAAGCTGCAGCCGCCCCTACCCGCCTGTCTTCTCGGGGTTGCTCCACGCTGGAGGCGGTGGCCCGGGCTGCCTGCGGGCTTTGGTCTGGGCCACCGTCCTGATGTCCTGACCGCCCCATAGAGATGCTCTTTGTAAGAAGGCGCTGTGCCCTCAAGTCCGCTCCCTCCGTGGGAGCGCAGCCACGCTGGATTGCTGGTCGTCGTTTACATCTGTTCCTTTCGTTTAAGTGGGACATTTGCAGGCGGTGACCGGGTCTGTCTGCATCTACGTTAGTCATCTCCGTTCTTGGGAGCGTTTAACGAGTGCCCCGGGTTGCGTCAGGCTCCCGCCTGCTCTCCGTGCTTCTGGTCTGACCTCACGCGTCTCGTCTGCGCACGGACTTAGGCGGGTTTATGCTGCCTCCGGTTCTCCCAGTGGCTTCTCCCCTTCCCGTGTCCTGTCCGCTTTTCAGTCTCCTCCGGGCACCCGCAGTCAGGCTGTTCCTTCTGGGTGGTGTCCCTGCCTCCCGTCCGGAGCCACCCGGCGTGGTGGCTGTGCCCGCCCGTGTCGGGCCCGCGGGCGGCTGCGGCTTTCCAAGTGAACGCGCGGTGCCCGCTGCCCTCAGGAAGCCCTGACGCGCGGGTGCGTGAAGGTGGGGGCAGGGTCCCGGGGACTCCTGGCTGCTGCGCCGGTCGTGTCGGCTGTGGGGCCTGGGTGAGGGATCGCCGCTGACGGCCTGACCCTGTGCTGTGTCCCCCGCAGCCTGGCCCCCGCTGAGGCCCCCTGCCCGGCCAGCAGGGAGGAGGAGCCTGATGACCGTCCGCACGCGACACCGGACGCAGCGCCGAGGGACCTGGGGTTCATCACCACGACGATGGCTTTTCCTCACGCGGGTTCTGGGGTGTCGGTGCTTTTGTTTTCACGTCCGTGGGAAGCCCATCTATAAAAACCATGTCCTGAGCAGTCCCATGTCTCTGTCTGACACCGATGGGGGCGGGCGACCAGGCACAGGTGGGCCAGGGGAAGCCCTGGCGCTGCCTCCCCTCCTCTGCCCCCCGCGCCTCCTGCCCGTTGCCGTGCCCGGCGCATGTGGGCGTCGCACGGGGTCCCGACCCCTCACGGTTTTGTGCAACCAAAGAATCTTGCCTGAGACCCCACAGGAGCGGCTCGTGGTGGGGACCCGACGGCGAGGTGGGGAGTGGCTGCACCGGCACCGGCCGTGGTGGACCCCCGCCGGGCGGCTGTTCTTGCCGGGTGCCGGCTGCCCTGGGGACACCCGGGAGGTTCCACAGCGGATTCGCTTATTTCCCAAAAAAGAGCCTCTTTCCAGCTGCCCAGAGTGGACCTAACCTGAAGGCTAGTGAGGCTGCCGTGCACGGAAGTTCACCACCTCAGGGCCCGCATGGCCGCGCCCTGTCTGCTGTCTCCCGGGTCGAGGCTCAGATGCGGTGTCGGTGTCGTGGGTGGTGAGAGAATTAGTGTCCGAGGCGAGGGCTGTGCCGTGGTTGGGGCCACGAACCGAGGGTGGACTGTGTCTGGGCCAGGGAAGGAGCTGCCCTCGTGGGCGTGTGTGGCGATGGGGCCGAGAGACCCGGTGGGTCGTGGCAGGCGCGGGTGCTGCTTCCGTCGTGGGGAGTAGTTTTCCCGCCGGGCTCAGTCGCTGACTTGGGGGATCGTTTACCTTCCCTGGGCTGCACCTGATCACACCCCCTGCAGGAGAAAGTCTGGTGTTACTTTGTGGATTCAAGCCTTAAAACATGCTTCCCTCCCAGAAACGAGGAGGGAGGTCTCCATTTCATTTCATTCTTTTTTTTTTAAAGATTTTATTTACCCATTTGACAGAGATCACAAGCAGGCAGAGAGGCAGAGAGAGGGGGAAGCAGCTCCCCGCTGAGCAGAGAGCCCGATGCGGGGCTCGATCCCAGGACCCTGGGATCATGACCTGAGCCGAAGGCAGAGGCTGTAACCCACTGAGCCACCCAGGCGCCCCGGAGGTCTCCATTTTAGATGGAAGACCAGCCAGACCCCAGGACACACACGGCCTGGGACACACACGGCCACGCTCCAGACACAGAACTGAGCCTCCCCCGGATCCCAAGCGCCTGCGTGTGCTGAGCTGAGGCGCGTGGGGAGCTCTCGTCTCAGGGGCAGCATGGGGGTCAGGACGCAAGGCCCATGTGCAGCTGGGACCCTGGGAGGCTGCTCCTGCACTGGCAGCAGAGATGTCCCCAGCGAGGGGACAGCATCCCGTCACCATCTCCCCCTGCAGCTGGGTGGGGAGAGGAGTCTCCTGGAGGTTCCCTTGGAGGGATGGGCAGTTCTTAAAGCTGACCTGGAACATACGATCACGTGCGCGCGCCCACCCGCCCGTGGTGCTCCCAGACAGCAGGCAGAAGCGGCCGACAGACTCTCCCCGGAAGAGTGCGGGTTCATCTGTATGGAGAGGCTGGAAAGAACCCAAACTAATGTTCCAGAAATGTCACAAAATAGACGAATGGGAATCACTAGCCAGACTTAATAGCAGACCCCAAAACTGCGAGGTTGGTAATATGAGCCACAGAACATTTGTTTTTGAAAGAGTTAGAAACTACCCCGAGGAGAATTACCCAGGAAAAAGCTCCCTGGATCGATTTAAGCAACCAAGTAGACACAAGCTGAAGAAATTACCCAGAAAAATAGAAAAGAGGCCTCAGAAAGAATCGGCCCAGTGTGTACAGAGGTCTCATGGGGGCTCGTCCCCAGATACCGGAGCCCGCAGAGCCGCGCGGCTACCACCCTGCCCGCCCCCCAACCACAGGGCCTGGCGCAGAGCAAGGGAGGGGCGGCCGCCGGGCAGAGCCGTGGACGCGGGCAAACCATCACGTCCAGCTGACACAAGGCTCGAATGCACAGCTAGGTGTTTAGCCTTGGGGCTGAGGAATTCTGGGGTTCTTTGGAGGGGGAGGGGTTAGACTCCAGGCAGAGCAGAGCCCGACATGGGGCTCCACCTCCCCACGCAGAGGTCACGGCCAGAGCTGAAGCCAAGAGTCGGACACTCACCGACCGCTCAGGCGCCCTGGGCTGAGTCAGTCCTTGGCAACAACCCAGATGCCAGGAGCAACCCCCTTCCCACTCGCAAACTACCTCCAGATGCTGCTGGGTTTGTGGGAGCAGATTCGCCCCACTCGGAGCCCTTGTCTGGTGAAGGAAGTGTGGGCGGGGAGGCTGTCCCCGCGGGGCACCTCCGTGTGCTGGGGACAGTGAGCAAGCGGCAGGTACACGACATGAACAGGGTCTGGAAGTGGACAAGGGGGGCCGGGGGTGTTCAGCGTCAACACAAACGTGTTTCTAGAAGAGCCGAGCGCCGAGCGGGACGCCTGGTTCTCCCGCCTCGGAGCAGCTCCCCCTGTGCCTCAGGCTTGCAGCAGACCCTGCTCCTCGTTCTCACGCCCACGCGCCCCATCGCGAGCCCACTCGGGAGCCTTGCCCTGCTGGTGCGAGCCCTCACCCCGGGCTCCCGCCGGCAGGGCCAGCCCTGCGTCTGGCACGAGTCACTCAGGGCACAGCGTATCCGTGGCCTTGCTGCTTGGGTCCTGGGACAGGCAAAGGGGAGCCCACGGTCGCCCACAGTCACTCACGGCTGATGGGTGTTTGCCCTTGGCGGGTTGAGCGGGGCTTCCCAGGCCCGGGAGACGCACGCTGCCAGCACGCCCACCAACGCGGCCCCTGCCCACAGCCCGCCGCGGCCGGTCAGGAAACCAGGCCGTGGCCCCTGCAGCCGTGGCCCTGACCGACCTCGAGGCCAGCCCTGGGCCCCCGCAGCCCCTCCAGGCCCTCGCGAGTCTCTGCCATCCTCGTGGGACATCCTCGCAGGCCTGCCCCGCCAGCTCACAGCACGCAGCCTCTGCTCTCGGTCGGTGCCGCGTATTTCCACACGTGGGACCGAGTCAGACCCAGGAACCGTGCCGGGATTTGCCCCACGTAGACACTCAAGCATCCACCACGGCGGGAGCAGAGCACGCGGCACTGTCGTCCCCGCCGCGCGGACGTCTGTCAGGAGCGCGAGCTAACGAGCTCCTGGCTCGACAGATGGGAGGATGGCGGTGCCCCCGGGGGCAGGGGAGCCTCCCACCACTCGCACGGTCAGGGACGTGTCCCTCGGGCTGTGGGCTCTCGACTCTGCAACTTGGTGCGTGTAGACCACATCCCGGTTCCGGACACGCTCACACACATGCCTGCAGGGAAGGGCCGGCCTCCCACGGAGCAGCGTCCGCCGCGCATGTGGTGCCGGCCCTGCCTGGCCTGTTCCCCCTCAGGGTCATGGGCCACCTGACGCTCGTGCCCCCAATCCCACGTACCTGGAGTGGCTGCCAGGGCCCGTCAGCTGAAGTGCAGGAAGTCCTGGCCTTCCCGCAGGTGCAGCGACCTCAGGTTGTCCTCAAACGCACCCCCGGTGAGGTCCTGTGGGAGGGACAGCGTGTCTGGCGTGGTCCAGGCCTCTCCCAGCCTGCTCTGGGACCCCCGGGGGCCCTCCCAAGGGGGCCCGGGGCAGAGTCGCCTGTGGCTGCCTGCCAGGTGGTCCACGATGAACTGTTAAGCGGAGAGGGGCGGGGGATCTTGGGTGGGGACGTTGTGAAAAGTTGGCCACGGTGTCACCAGTGGGAAGGAGGTGGGGGGCTGTCCTCTGAGGCCTACACACCTCCCAGCTCGAACTTGGGTCCCTCGCTGCAGAAGGCAGCTGACACGGGGACTAAGGGCAGGAAATGGCCCCACTGGCAGGTCTCCTTCTCCCGTTTGTGGGGCAACCGGCCTTCCTCTGTGCCTTGTCCAGGGCTCCCAGGACACTCCGGCTTCTTTCTGCAGGGGCCTGAACCCGGACTCGAAGAGAGATCAACGGATCCCTTCCTGCCCCTCACTTGGCTCCATCCCTGCACGGGGGAGAGCACGGGGACACTCTCCACGGGGATGGCTGCACAGGGATGGCCACATGGGGACACGCTGCACGGAGAAGGCTGTCCGGGGACGGCTGCACAGGGACACACTCAGGTCATGATCCCAGGTCCCATGTTGGGCGCCCGGCCGCCTGGGGAGTCTGCTTCTCCCTCTGCCTGCCGCTCTGCCTACTTGTGCACGCTTTCTCTCAAATAAATTGTTTAAAAGAAAATAGCTTTTCCTGGAAGAATCTGTAAAAAGGCAAGTCTCACGTGGGAGAAAACACTTGCCACCCCAACTGAGGACGGGCGGACCAGAGTGTGCACAGCCAGAAATCAGCAAGGCTAGGACCAAGGGCACCTCCCGATGAGCCCTGGTCTGGCCTCAGGAAGGTGCGTGCACAGAGGGCACCTCCGGGGACCCTTCCCGTCTGCTCCGTCATCACGGCCGTGTCACGGCTCCGCCTACCTTGTTGCCAGGCCGGAAATGACCAGGGCCCACGGCCGGCGGGGTGGTACTTGGGAGTGAGTGAATGCAGTCATCCAGCCACGTGGGCCAGCCTGACTTGGGCAAGGAGACCGTGGTCCCCACAGGGGCCGAGAGCAGCCCGCCCCCTGCACCCGTGACCTCAAGGGAGGTAAAGTCTCAGGACGGTCCTGGAGACGGGACCACGGTGCTCCGTCAGAGGTGCTTCTCAGCCACGCTTCTACCCGCCACAGACCCTCGTCTCGGCCAGAGCCTCTGAGGAGCCCCTGGAATGGGCCTCGAGTCTGGCCCTTAGCAAGTTCCCAAAATGCTGCTTTTCCAGAAGTGCAGCCCGTTTTGTGAGGGCGCCGTGGCAGCCTCTTCTGGCACCCTGGGTGGCCTCCCCAGAGCGGCGATGGCCAGCTCCACACAGGTGGCCCAAACCGAGGACGTGGACATCTGGCTGCAGGTCAGACGTCTGTGATCCCACAAGTGGGGGCCTGGAGCGGCTACACGGTCATCGCCTGACCCCCACTGGGGCAGTGGTCGGCACTTACCAGCTTCACACAGATGACGAAGGGGGGCCGGGCAGCTCGGAAATGCAGGATTGGAACACGAGGCTTAGGCCTTTCCTGAGAACAAGAGGTCTTGTGGGCTGGGGTCCGTGCTAGTCCCACAGGACGCCCTGCCATGCTGGACCTGCGCGCCGACAGGGCGCCTGGACTGACCCCTCACCCCTACCCAGCTCCGAGGTGCGCAGCAGACAGACCTGGGCCAGCAGGCGGGGACACGGCCGTTCTGGGTTCTGAGATCCCCAGCAAATGGGGCCACCGCTGCTGGGCCCGGTGGCCTTCCCCAAGGAGGAAGGCTTGGGCAATGGCTGCTCCACATACCCCGGGTCAGAGCTGGGGTGGTGCGGACAGCCCATGTGGGATGAGGCCCTTTCTGGGGTGCTGGGCCCACACACCTGAGAGTCCTCGTGGCAGTAGAAGCCTTTCCTGATCTTGTTCTCGTCCACGTCACAGAAGGCAACCACCTGGGGGGGGCACAGGACGCCAGCCTCAGGGATGGGAGACGGGGGGTGGGGGTACGGAGCTGTGGGCGGGGTGGAGGGGGGCTGGTGGAGGGGGGCGGGGCGGGGGGCTGGTGGCCCACCTTGCGTCGTGCCTCAGCCGTCAGGCTGCGGTAGAGCCGGCGGCCCTGCCTGCCCGCGTTCCAGACGGTGAACGCCGCCCAGCGCGGCAGGACCCGTTCTTCCAGGAAGCGGACACGGTGGGTCCAGATGGTGGTCCTGGCGGGGAAACGGTGGGTGAAGCAGGCGCGGGCCGAGCCGCTCCCAGACCTCCCTCCCCGCCCAGCCCTGCGGGGCCCCTTCTCTCTAACGCTCACGAGGCGCCGGCCGGTGCGTGAACGGGTGAACGAATCAACCAGTGTCGCGCTGCCCCCCCAGCCCCACGTGGACCCGAGGACGTGCCCTTATCCCGTCCACGGACTCAGGCCTCGAGGGACGCCAGGCACAGACCGCGGGGAGCCCGATGGGGAGGCAGCCGCCCCCGCGCCCAGTGAGCTCGGGCGAGCCGTCTCATGCCGAAGCTGGCCGGACCGCCGGCTGGTCCTCTCCTGCGGGGACCCTTCCGTGGGCCCCTTGCTCTGAGCGACGTGGAGGCCCGGACCCTGCGGTGTGCCTCTGCGCCCCACAGAGGCCGGTGCGCTCCGCTGTTCCTGTTCAGCGCGGTCGCGCGCACCGAAGGGGCCTGGGTCGCAGGCAGGAAAGCGTCCCTTAAGAATTTGGAGGGTCGGGGCGCCTGGGTGGCTGGGTCAGTTGAGGGTCCAACTCCTGGTTTCCGCTCCGGTCACGATCTCAGGGTTTCGCGATGGATCCCCCTGTGGGGCCTGCGGGGACTCTGCCTCAGGCCTTGTCTTCCCTCTCCCCTGCCCGCTTGTGCTCTGACTCGGAGAAACGGATCTTTACAAGCTGGAGGAGCGGCGGAACTTCTCCGGGGGCAGCGGCCCAAACCCGACCCCGACGTGTCTCCCAGAGACCCCTCAGCACGCAGGGCAGCCGCCATCGCGCAGACGCGGCCATGCCCGGGGGCACTGTTGTGCGGCTCCCTCGGTGACACGGAACCCAGTGACCTGTGGCCGTTCCCAGGCACCTCAGGGAACTGTTCCTCCGTGGGGGGGGCTGGGGCCTGGCGGGGCACCCGGGGTCCCGGACGCGGTGGCGCCGGGCAAGGGGCCGGCAGGCGTTCCGACGGCGGTGCCGAGGCCGCGCTGGGGCTGGCAGGCGAGCGGCTCCCCGGTCACGGCCCGCAGCGCTTCCCGAGCCCCGCACGAGCTCCGGACTGTCCGGCCCACGCCGCTCGCCACCCGCACGGCCACATCCAGGACGTGGAAGGAGTTGAAGGACAAAGGACCAGTGACCATGTGCGAGTCCTGCTCCATGAGGAGGCCTGAGGCTGAGGAAGGGACGGGGAGCTGCGGGTGAAGTCACTTCTAACGCTTCCGCCCTTCTGGGACAGCCGGTGTCAGCAAGCGCTGTGCGGGATCCGGCCGAGGGGGACGCGGGGCCACATGCGGCTCTGGCAGCGGCTCCCCCCCGTCCCCCGTCCCCGGGACGAAGTTCTGTCAGCACAGCGTCCCGTCCCGTCCCTTCCAACAGTCCCTGCTCCCCAGCGTGCAGTGCAGGGCCGGTCCGGAGACGCCGGTGACCGTGCGCTACACAGCAGAGGGACGGCCACGGAGCCCCTCCCGCCTCGGGGGCCGTCTTTCCCGGTGCTGGTCGGTTCTTACTCGCCCGGGAAGAATCCTCAGTCTTACCAGCTCATGTGGTTTCTGTATTGGATTAAAATCTTTGCGCCGTGAGGGGTAATAACGAGCTTTAGTTACAGCCTCAGGCTTGTTGAGAATCAAATTTCTTCCATCTCGCTGCCCAGAAGGCCTCCGGTGAAAGCGCTCCCCGTTGTTCGTTCTTCCGTTTTAAACCGAGCTCGGTCAGCACGTCCACCGCTCCTTCCGACTATCTGTCCTTACTCGTCGTGGGGCCGCCATGTCCCCCCTGCAGGGCTGTGGCGAGCAGAGCGGCTTCCCCAAACCCACAGACCAGCCTCTCCAAATGCACCCCTGCACCCTAGCCCCTGGCGGTGGAGTAAGGAGGGGACGGTGCCGGCCCTGGGGAGGGGGGACTCCGCCCCAGGCCGGAGGGCCGAGAGGCCACGGGAGCAGGTGGCACCTGCGGTCACGCGGGGAGGGCAGCCGAGAGGCCGCACAGAGCAGCGGTTTTCCGGGACAGAGGCAGGACGCCACCACGGACACAAACAAGCCTTTAAACAGGTGGTGCGTGTTGTTCGGGGAGCCCTGACACACGGCGACGTCTCGGGAACCGGGTGTGGCGACGAATGCCACGGACAGCGTGGGCCTCGGCGGTGGGGCTGGGAGAGGCAGCGGGCACGGGAGGTCAGGCCTCGGGGTCGGGATGCCCCCGTCTGTCGGAAGGAGCGGTGGACGTGCTGACCGAGCTCGGTTTAAAACGGAAGAACGAACAACGGGGAGCACTTTCACCGGAGGCCTTCTGGGCAGCGAGATGGAAGAAATTTGATTCTCAACAAGCCTGAGGCTGTAACTAAAGCTCGTTATTACCCCGTGAGGTTTTGCCACTTACACGCAAAGATTTTAATCCCAAACAGAAACTACATGAGATCACCTCTTTGGTTTGTGGGTGGCAAAGCCTCGCGCTGCAGAAAAAGCGAACAAGCTCTCAACAGAAGACGTTGATCTCCTGCAAACAAGATGACGACTTGTGGGGACAAAGCCCAGTTGCCGGTGGCCTGGTGCTTCCGGGACACACAGGCTCCTGCCACAGCAGAGGCCCCCTCCAGGTCCTACAGTGAGATCCCCTCAGGGATCCCTGAGGGATCTGTCTTCAGGGAACCTACCGTGAGAACACACAGACAGGAACATTCATGATGGTGACAGAGGAGATCCCCGAAGTCCCATGCCTCACAACGTACAGGAGATCCCCGAGGTCCCACGCCTCATGCCCCGCAGGAGATCCCCGTGGTCCCACACCTCACGGGTCTAATTTCTACCTAGTTCTAATTCCTATCACCCGTTCTAAGTTCCACTAGGTACACCTGCTGGAATTCCTCTACGGACTGGCTGTGCTTAGGAACAGCAGAGACTAGGCCTGACTCTGGAGGGCTGCCTGTAAGCGGAATCCCACAGTACGCACGCCCCGTGCCTTCCGCGTAAGCGTTTGCTGTGGCGCGAATCCCGGTTCCTGCCGCAGCAGTCGGCTTCCTCTCCCTCAAGGCTGAGCGCCGTCCACCATGACCTCCACGTGCTTCCTGATGGACATCTGGGTGGTTGCCGGTTCTTGGCAAGGCTAACAGCGGTTGAGCAAGGTTTCCACTTCTTTTACGTTAAGCACCTAGACATGGAATTGCTAGGTCTTAGGGATATGAATTTCATTAATAAAAAAAGTGCGTTTTCCAGACAGGATGTCCCACTGACACTCCTGAGAACGGTGTGCGGCCTTTCTGCGAGATCCACACCCTTGCCACCATCTGGAATCGGCACATGTTACTTTTAGCCCTCCTGGTAGGTGTCCATACCTGGTAGGTATGTGACGTCTTTGCTGCTGGGGTTCCTCCCGCGCCTCCCGCTCGCTTCTCCCTCAGACACAGACCGTGAACGTTCCCGCTCATCTGCCACTCATGTTCCAATGGTGTCGTTTTAGGAACCAATGTTTTTAATTTTGGTAAAGCTTCATGACTTTGTAAATGGTTAATCTCATGTCCTCGCTGTAAGTTTTTGCTGATCCTGAAATTGTGAAGGTGCTGCCTGCGTCCCTCTAGAAACTTCCGATTCCAGCTGTTTCTAGGTTTCTAGGCTTATATCCGAGATCCCACCAGAGCAGTGTTTTCTATACAGCACGAGACTCTTGCTCTTTCCTTCTTCTTTTCCCATGTGAATATCTGGTGGTTCTGCTTGTTGAAAATATCTTCTTTTTCCATTAAATGCCTTTGGAGACATTGTTGAAAATCAATCTATTGTATAATTTTCAACGTATTTCTGGATTCTCCATTCCATGGTCTCTCCTGATGCTGCTGAGGTTTCCTGGGCCCTGTGAGTCCCCAAAGTTCATTCTTTTCGAGGTTGTTGAGGCCATTCTGGGTCCTTTAACTTTGCATGTGAATTTTAGAATCAGGATCAATTTCTGCAAAGAAGTTCAATCCACAGCTCGGTCTGGGCAGAACTAACATCAAAGTCACCAAATCTTCCAACCCATGAAAGGGACGTCCCTCTGTCCCTGTTATGGGTTTTCTTTAATTTCCTTCTGCACCTGCTTGTACTTTCCAGAGGACATACACACTTTCTCATGTTTACCCACAAGTATTTTTTTTTTTTTGGTGCCATAATACGTTTTTTTTTTTTTTTAAGATTTTATTTATTTGACAGAGATCACAAGCAGGCAGAGAGGCAGAAAGAGAAAGGGAAGCAGCTCCCCGCTGAGCAGAGGGCCCGATGCGGGACTCGATCCCAGGACCCTGGGACCATGAGCTGAGCTGAAGGCGGAGGCTTTAACCACTGAGCCACCCAGGCGCCCCCATAATACATGTTTCTTGATTGTGTTTTTTTTCCAGTTGTTCGTTGCAAGTGTATAGATTGTGTGCTTTAGTGAATTCCACAAATTCTGACATACCATTTTAATTTCATCAAATTGAATTTTTTTCTGATTTCCTCCCTTGGTTGCTTACTTTCCAAATATTTTAGATTTTTTAAGATGTGTGAATGACATCTAATTCTATGTGGTTATAAAACACACCTTGTGTGATTTTAATCATTTGAAATGGATCCAGAGCTGTCGGTCTTGCACCTTAATGGAACGTGTTCTGCAGCTGAGTGCCACAGTCTATAAATGCCGGCCGGGCCGAGGGCTAATCCCAGTCCTCTGCGCCTTGCAGGGCTCCCTGCTTCTCCCAGTCACTGAAACGGACCCAAAACCTCCAGCTGGAACTGTGCAGGAAATCTGTAATTTGCCTACTTCCGTCTGGTTGTGTTCATGGGCTTGGAGACTGATGAGACGCACAGCACACACCAGGGACCGCTCCGTCCTCCTGTGACGGGACCTCTACCCCGTGGCGCAGATCACACTCGCACGGAGTCAGCGGTGTGACAGCAAACCCAAAGAACGGAGGTCCCGTAAAGCTACCGTGGAAAAGTGCGGACTTAACAACAAATAACCAAAATCAAGTTCTTCAGCTGAAAACAAAGAAACTGAATTTCAACGCGCGTGCAAATGCCCAAGGACCTCCTGAAGCAACGCGGGACCCTGAGATGGCACCGCACGCGACGGTGGAGGGGGACGCCAGAGCCCCCCAAACGGAGCTGCCCCACGGGGAAGCCAGGGGTCACGCCCTCCGAGGAAGCACAGCCAACCCCACCTCCGGAAGATGAATGCGCACCCGTCCCCCAAAGCAAGCGGTGTCACAACAGCCTTCTCACGGTGACACACACGTGACACACACACACAGTTCAAACGGAAGACACAACACCCCTCCTCTGCGTTGCACACCCGCCGCCCTAGCAGCGCGCCCCAAGTGCACACCGGCCCCTGGGGACATGCGGGCCGGCAGGGGAGGGACAGAGGGAGTGACAGGCCCCCTCAGTGGGGGCAGAGAGGGCACACTGGGCCAACAGTAACCAAGTCAGACGCGTGCCTGGCTCACTTTGGGGCTCCCGTCCCCTCCCGGCGCAGAGATCAAGACTTCCAAGGAACACCTACGCGTGGGTTCTCTCGCCACAGAAAAGCACACAGACCTGCAGCCTCTGTCCTGGGAGCCCTCGTCCACCGGCCCTGAGACAGCCCCTGCCCCCCACGAAGGCCACAGGCTCTGCACGCCTGGCCTGGCCCTGCGCCCAGATTTCCCGCCTCGTGTGAGAGACCTGACCCCGGGACCAGCGTCGGCAGCCCACGCCCTCAGCGGCCCCCACACCACGTCTGGAGCCCCGGGGCCCACCTACTCGAGGACAGAGTGGGTGGCGGCGTCTGGGAGGTAGCGGTAGAGGAGGAGGCTCTGGTCCACGCGGACGACCCCGCCGCCCTTCCTGAGGTGGTCGTAGAAGAACAGCAGGTCCTCGGGCACACCCTGCAGGGCACAAAAGACGCGTCATCCATCGCTGGGGTTTTTGACAGAAGACCCACCGGTGGCCGATGCTTCCCGCATGTGCATTCCTTGCGGCCCGGCCGCCGGCACGTGGGGCTCACATCAAGGCAGGAGGCACTGGTGTCACCGGCGCGTGTGGCCGGCAGCCCGAGGACCAGCCCTCCCCACTGACGGGGTCTCTCTCTGCAGGCCCGGGAGCTTTCTTGGGGGGTTCCCTGGCTCGTGAGACCTCAGCCTCCAGCCTCCCACTAGCCCGGCGGGCGGCCGTGCTCAGCCTCGACCATGGAAGCTGGACGCCAGACGCCGGGTCTGCTCCCTGGGCTCTCCTCGATCCCACAGCCGACATCGAGGTGCGGAGGGGTCTGGCTCTCGCCCACCTCCCCACTGTCCACAGCGCGGCACTAGGGGTGCAACCGCGAGCGGAGCGGCAGTGCAGGGGCCTCGTCACTGACATCGCCAGGAGACGCGGCTGCAGGCACAGGCTGGCGTCCCGAGCGGCACCACAGGGCGGGGACAAAGCAGACAAACCCAGGATGGAAGCCGCGGCCTCACTGTCCCGAAGTCCACAGGACAGAACTCGGGAGGGGCAGGCAAGCGGAAGGGAGGAGATCCCAGAACACAGAGACCGCGACGGGAGGAAACCTCCCCGAGCAGCTACCGGACAGAGAACGCCGACCCCCGACGACGCCAACACCGGCCACCGGGAAGTGGGCAACGGATCTGCACACGTCCTAAAATAAACGGTCAGTCCTTCAGCACCTCAGTCACCCGGGAAACGCAAACGAACACGGGAAGTCTCGGCCACCGCAGGGCCTTGGGGCTGCGTGGGGAGGGGAGGGCGGGCGGCCTCCCCTCCGCTCTTCCCATCAGACAGAAAAAGCACATTGGAAAAGCATCCGCCGCGTGGCCTCTCTGGGCCTCCAGTCCCCCTGGGGCAGTGACGAGCCTCTCCAGGCCTTCCCACCCAGGCCAGCCTGCTCTCCCAGGGCCAGCTCAGAACCAACAAGAGCCCTTCCGTTACTTTTCTCTTCGCGTAAGGGCCTCCTGGGGGCATTCCGATTCCTGAGCCTGGCACCGAGGCTGCTCACCACGGCTGGACGCGGTCCTGGGCCAGGCCTGTACCCACCTCCAAACCTCAGACTCCCGGCCCCCACCAGCCGCCTCTGCTAGTGCCTTTCCTGATTAAAAAGCCGTCCACCGGGACGCCTGGGTGGCTCAGTTGGTTAAGCAGCTGCCTTCGGCTCAGGTCATGATCCCAGCATCCTGGGATCGAGTCCCACATCGGGCTCCTTGCTCGGCGGGGAGCCTGCTTCTCCCTCTGCCTCTGCCTGCCATTCTGTCTGCCTGTGCTCGCTCTCTCTCCCTCTCTCTCTCTCTGACAAAAAAAAAAAAAGCCGTCCACCTTGCCTGTTCCAGCTCACCACTGTCTCCGTGCCCCCGGCCCCAGCACACTCGCAGAGTCACCGGTCCACACCCTGGTCCCCTGCTCTGTCATTCAGCACCTGGACTGCTTCCTGCTGCTTCGGCCACTTGCCCTTCTCTCCGCAGAGGAGGAACCCTGGGCTCTTAGCCCTGGGTAGACCCTGGCTCTTCAATGGCCCAAGGAAAGTCACCTGAAGGTCAGTCCCCAACGTCCGGTTCTCTGAACAACTTCGGCTCGACCGGTTTCTCTGGGGATGGCATCAAAGAACGGTGGAAACACTGATGTCCTTCTCTTGGTGGTGGGCTCTGCTGCCATCCGTGATCTGCCTCCTTACGCCCCAGACCCCACACTTGCCCCAGCCCCATCACAGATCTAGTTCTGGCCCCTAACCCCGTCTTCCTGATCCCCAACCTCTGATACCTGGTCTCTGACTTCTGACCCCTAGTGCCTGAAATATGATCTTTGGTCCCTGATCCATAGTCCCGTAACTCTGATTGCTGGTTCCTAGTCTCTAGGTTCCTGGTCCCTGGTCTCTGATCTCTGGTCCTCAATCTCTGGCCCCTGATCCCTGATCTCTGGTCGCCGAGCCCCCATACAAAGGGATGCATGGGCTTTCTTTGCCTCCAGGGGCGGCTTCTCCAGGAAGAATTACTTTGAGCTGAAAATCCTGACGTACTTTGAATTCTGAGACTGCTCCGGGCTGCGAGTTAGGGTGTGTCAGACCTTTAGATCGAGGTTTCCCAGGGACCGTCTCCTGATGAGTTTCTGGGCTGTTTTCTACCGAAGAACATAAAAGCATGGATTCATGGCCCAACCAGAACAGTGGCTTCCACAGCACCTGTCAGAAGAGGGCCACCTGCTGGGGCTTCCCGCCACCAGGCTGCTGTTGCACCATCAGGGAGATCTTCGCTGTGCTGTCTGCTGCCCCTGGTGGAGCGGAGGCCCTGGGACTGGGGGCCCCGGGGCAGGGTCGTGCCACATGCATACAAGTTCTCTCCATTGTGTGGATTTGGGGGAGAAACAGGAGCACAGGGATAGTGCCCAACACCCTAAGACCATGAGTCAGCACACATCCGGGACAACGCGACCTGGTCGCCCATCCCAGCAGGGGGTGAGACAGGAAGGCTAGTCAGTACGGACCCATGTGCCTGCGAGGGGTGGCCAGGCCAGGGCCAGGAGGAGCATGGCGGGATGGTGGCACACGTGCTCCCTGCTCAGGCCAACCCTGGGAATGTGAGGTGCTGCTGGTGGCAGCCTGCACGGCAGGGAGACCGGCCTGGGGCAGGCCCAATTCCCGTTCTACTGCAGACGCTGCTGGCCGGTCCCCCGGGGGCGCTGGCCGGTAGATGTGTGAGAACGGCTCTCCTCCTGGAGGCTGAGTCTGGGCAGCTGTGAGGGACTCGGTCCAGCATGGGGGGGGCAGTGGAGCCCTCTCCCTCCAAAATGACAGGCATGAAGGGAGGCTGGGTGAAGTCAGGATGGGGATGGACTTGGCCCTGAGCTGAGGGTCCACGGGGCCGGCCGTGATGTCGACAGGAGGGAAGCAGGCTCAGAGCAGAAGGGGCTCACAGCAGGACAGTGGCCAAGGTTGCAAGGCCGGAGTCGCTGCCCCTGCCTCCCAGCCCGGGGTCTCCAGAGCCCTGTGGCCCAGACCCTCTGTGTGTCCAGGCTCCCTCCTGCCCCCAGCCCAGCAGCCGGCGGGGGTTGTGGGTATGGGGCCTCATCCCAGTCCAGTAGCAAAGGCCTGATGAGCCCTTCACACGCCCACTCCACCTCCTCCCACTGTGCAGACCAGCCTCACGTTCTCAAAGCCTCATTTAAGGGAAGTTTAAGGGAAAATAAACAAACGGACCCTAAACTTAACTTTTTAATTGGGTGTAGGAGCATTAACTGTACGACCGTGGGGTGTGGGGTGGGGCCGAGGGAGCCCAGGCGAGAGGTCGGGTCTCATTTCTGGGACACACGCTAGAGCTCAGTGTGGGCTGAGCGCTGCAGGTGGGGCCCCACAGGTAGGAGAGGCTTTAGGGAAGAGCCCAGCCTGGGCATTCTGTCCCAGGGCCACCTGTCCCTCTCCTGTAGTCACCGCGGCAGCAGGGCTGACAGCTTTACAGCAGGATGAGGAGGCCTGGGTCCTGGGCGCCTGCAGCCCTCACACAGAAATCCCCAGCGGGTGCCAGGGCCCCAGACGTGCTCGGGGAAGCTGGGCCCAGCCAGCGGCAGGAGGGCTGGACCAGCCTTTACAGAAGATGTTTCTGAAGCCCTGGGTCCCCACAGGGAGCACAGTACCCACAAGTGGGTAGGGCTGGGGGGCTGACACCGAGGGGATGACGGCACCTCCCCTGACCCCAGAGGAGGGGATCCACGAGGGCCCACACTTACTTGCCCGCCTTCATCAAATGGGCCCACGTGGGAAAACCATGCTCGAGAGCAGAACCAGGTGGGCATAATCACAGTCGGGCCATTGGAGGTAAAAACCTAAAAGCAAATACCAGAAAGTAATAGCTCGTCACAAACAACATACAATTTATTTTCCACAAAATGTAATTCAGAAAGTGACAAAAGAATCTGCTCTTCTCCGTAGGAACAGACGTTCAAGGGACTTTCCAGCCAGACCCACCAGGTGGGGGATGGCAGAGGAGGGGCCGGAAGCATCCGTGGCTCCACCTGGGTCCTGATCCTGACCCTGGGTGAGCGCTCGCTCGCTGACTGTGTTCGAGGAGGAGTCCCCCCCGCTTTTGACGGACGGTAAAGTTTCACCTGAAGACAGAAGTAAACATATTGCTTTTAGTCGTGGCAAGAGAGAACTGCCATGTTCAGATGAAACGGATGGGATCCTCCAAAGACACGTACATCGAAAACTGACTAAAGCAGCAGCAGAAGGTATGGCCAGACCCACGAGAGGCTGGGAGAGCACTTAAAACAGAAACACGAAGCCCACGACGTCCCACAAAGAAACGCAAAGGTCCGGAGGGTCAGCGAGCTCTGTCCCACGCTGCACGAATTGCCACCCCCCGTCGCAGTCTTCCACAAACGCAGGCACTTCTAAAGGATAAAATCTGGACTCTGGCCAATGGCAGGTCAAAGGCACGGCATGAGCACACGACGCCCACGAGAACAGGCCAGATCCTCAGTCCCAGGCTGGATCCAGAATCCAGAATCTCGGACAGTCTCTCCCTCGTTGTGCGGCCTGGAAGCGGGTGGGAATTACGCCGCAGCCTGGGGCCCCGGGGGAACCAGGTGCCCCCGCCGCCGTGGCAGGAAGTGTTTCCACAAGTTCTCAGAGCACCGCTGTATCGCACAACACAGGTGTGAACTGCGCGGGTCTATGTACACGGGAATTTTTAAAAGTCAATACAAGACGGTGCTGTAAACGCTTTTTCCTTATGATTTTCTTAGTAACGTTTTCTTTTCTCTGGCTTATTTTACTGGAGGAACAGACCAGAATACATGCGTTATTGCCGTTACGCTACGGATGAGGCTTCTGGCCCACGCACGGCTATCAGCAGTTAAGTGTTTGGGGAGGCAAAAGTCATGCGTGGATTTTCCTACAGAGTCGGCTCCTGAAACCCCATGCTGTCCGAGCACCGCGTGTACCTGGACGGGGTTTCCACGGCCCCGTGAGGACAGGCCTGCCTCCTCCCACAGGCCACAGAGCAGACACCCGCTCTCCTCAGCAGCTCCCTCCGCCGCCTGGGCTGGCTTCTGTGGCGCTCGGGGAGGACGGCATCACCTGTGTTTGCCTGGAGCCCCCCCGGCTCTGAGGCCCCTCACTCCAGCCCACACATGTCCACCCCACGTGGGCGCTGTTAGCAGTTCTTGGGAACGCAGTGTCCACCACGAACATCCCTGGACTTCCTCTTTGTGGGAAGCACCCGTGGCCTGTCTGACCGTCTCATAACCTGCATTTTCCTGGGGACGAGGGGCATGCAGAGCCCTGAAGCACACGTCCAGACACCTGTCACCATTTTACACAGAATGAGCCAGGCTGGGTGGTTCCACGAATCTGTGCACATGCGGCGGGACTCAGAGCTGTTCCCGAAAAGGGGAAAACAGCCGGCTTTATTATTTTATTAACAGCTGTGATAACTTGGGGACAACTAAGTGTTCTCACTTCTGAATGTTTTTTCCAGGCATCTGTTTACAAAACAAACTCCGAGACACGGAGGAGCTCGCACACAGGCACACCGAGTCCCGAGTGCTTCTACGGCTCTGCCGGCGTGCGGATGGGCTAGTGAGGAGAGACCCACCTGCAGTCTCTCGCTCCCCTTGGAAGCCTCGCATCTCTCCGTGGGGACGACAGCGGCCACGGGGACAGGAGACACCCCCTCGTGGACTTCTCTCTTTGGAAACTTGCGAAGAAATGAGCCAGAGCGGGGCTGAGGCTGGGCACACGGGCCCTGTTCCAAGCACTGTTTCCGGCACTGCAGACCCGCCCTGCAGCCTGGGGGAGCCCAGAGGTCGGGGGGCCAGCGGGATGGGGCCTGAGGTTCAACAGCCTCTCAGAAATTCGCCCGGCTACAGTTCCAGAGCCCTTTAGACTGTGAATGAATCTTGTTTTAATTTGATGCTGTGTGGGGTGTATGGGGGAAGGGGGCCCAGCAGGCAGTGAGCTGGGACCGGTGAGGGGGGCGCAAGGAAGGCCATGACCACTCCCAGCACCGCTGTCCCCTCCTGCTCATCGGCACCGTCTCCGTGGACACGGGCTGCCGTCGGCACCACACGTGGGGCTGGTCCAGCAGATACCACAGCTCTGGAGGCGGGTGTCGGAGCCCCGAGAGCCTGCTGCTGCCAGGGAGCCACCTTCTTCCGCAAGCTCTGCTGTCACTTCTGACAAGGCCACTGGTCCCATCGCAGGGGCCTCACCCCCATGACCTCCTCTAACCTGATCGCCTCCCAAAGGTCCCCCAATTCTGCTATGTTGAATGTGGGGGACATAAACATGCCGCCATGACAGGCACACCCTTCATCTCCAGTGTGGGGGTGCTGAGAGCGCGGCTCCGTGGGCCACCCCCAGACCCCTAATTGCCCCCAAGCTCCAGAGCGTGCATCTGGCTGCCCACAGGCATCTCCCCTTGGTTACGGGACTTCTGTAGTTCCACTAAAGTATGCAGCAGGCTACACACGTGCACACACAGCTGGAAAAACTCACCCACGTGTGCACGCCTGAGCCACACACCTCTCCTGGTTCTGAGCTGGCCGCCCCTGCAAGCTTCCTCGTGCCCGGGCCGCCCCCCACCCCCAACACAGGCAACCGCTGGCTCACTTTCCGTCACAAGAAGCGGCCAGCATTTCCTAGGTGCTGCGCCAACGGGTCCCAACGCCTGCCCTCCTCCTCTCTGGTGTCCTGCGCTCCGTCAACCACACGGGCTTTTCCACACGCCTGCGGATGGGCCCACGGGCAGCCCAAGGCGTGTGGTCTCTGTGCAGACGGAGCACATGGCGGGGGGGCGGTGGGTATGGCAGGTGCAGAGCAGGAGCTCCTAGAAAATGGCTCTGCTGTCCCAAGGTTCTTTCTGCTCCAGCCGACCCTGGCTCCGCTCCAGCCGGCCACATCCCACAAACACTGGTACCACGGCCTTTCTCATTTCAGGCTAAGAGGTAGACACACACCTGTCTCACCGGGCACGCCATACCCTCCTAATGCCCCTGAGGCTGTGCTAATTCGCCATCCAGACACCGAGCCTGATGGAGCATGCATTCAAGTCACTGGTCCCCTTTTTACTGGGATGTTTGTGTCCTCAGACTCCACAGAGCTCCATAGAACTCTCCCACTCGGGACTCGAGGCCTTTGCTGGACATGTCCTGTAGCCACACCCGTCTCCGGGTTCATCCTTCACGACATCCACTGGGCTGATGAAGCCCACCAGACCCCAGGGACTGGGGTCCCTCTCGGGGTCCCTCTCAGGACCAGAGCAGCCGTGTCTCACCCCATGGCTTCTTGTCTAACCCACGATCACAAAGAAGTTTTTTTCTGTTCTCTTCCGTAAGCTTCATGGTATTAAGTTTCGCATTTAGTTCCAGGATCCGTTTTAAGTTAATTTTTTATAAATGGTGTGAATTTTTCCAAGTTCAGTTTTTTTGCACGTGGACATATGGATGTCCCAGCACATCTTTTCCACTGACCCTGTCCATAAGAGATGAGTGGTCTGTGTGTCTGTCCTTGTGCCGACACACGGCCATGGAGTCCGGCAGTGCCGGCCTCTAACTCTGCTCTTGTCCACGTGGATTTTGGCTGTTCTAAATTTTTCCATTTCCAAAAGATTTTGCAATAAGTTGGCCAATTTCTTTCTCCCCCCCCCCCTTTTTTTTTGAGTTGGTCGATTTCTGCGATAAAGCCTGCTGGGGTACTGACTGGGGTCACGTTAATGTTCGGGCGGGTTGGTCCGGGAGGACTTTCATCTTCACAACACCTGCGTGCCCTGCCCGCCTGCCCAGTCTAGGATCGTCTCCCATCACAAGACCCTCAGGCCCCTCTACAAAGACCCCTCTCCTACATATGGTAACATTTCCAGGGGTGTCTGGAAACGGTAGGGCATTCTCCCCATTCCTCACCTGGGGTCAAGGGAAGTGGGTGCCAGGGGCAGGGAAATCTGGCTGTAATGAGACACAAGACAGCCTCTCGGACGCTAAAATCAAAGACTGACACCACCAGATGCAATCTTAGACACGGGGAAGGGACGGTGCGCACACACCTACTTGCAAACAGCAGTACGGGTACCCAGACTATCTGCACAACCAGCCGTGCCACCCTGGGTGTCCCAGGAAAATAAGAGCTACATCCAAGCAAAAACTGCGAACATTGAAAGCACAATGGACAAAACTGGAAGCAATGCAAATGTTATTCAACACGAGCCACAGACACCGTGGAACAGAGCGCAGGGGGCCTCCCCTCCACAGCTCCGAGCACAGCCATGGGTAGACAGATAGTGGTGGCCTTCACGGAGTCAAGGAAGGCAACCTTCATCTACACAAAACCCTAAAGATGGGACTTCTAATCTCTAGAGACAGAAATCAGACCAGCGGGCCTGTAGCTAGACCAACTCCCTGGGGTGGCCTGTCTGGCTCTTGGGATCAGGGACCTCGTGCCTTGCTTTCCACAAATCAGGTTTTTGGTGTGTGGGAGGGGTTCGAGGGTCCTGGAATCCAGGGGCTCCCCATCCCCAGACACTACAGACGGGCCCCTGAACACCAGCACTTTCTAGCAAACCCAAACACATCAGTCCCCACAAATGTGCTCCATTCCTTCTTTGACTAAGAAAAAACTGGTCTCATAATGCTATTTGGGAACTTTTGCAAAGCAAGACCTAGGCACCCTGTTTTCAACTCCTACTTAGTGAAAATCCACAGGCATTTTCTGGTAGGTTGCCTGCAGCTGAACACCTGATGCCCAGTCCCCAAGCACATGGGTTTCGGGTGTGGGAGCTGGGCCTGGTGGACCGGCAGCGAGTGTAACACACAGGATTCTGGGGGCGCCT